AGTCCCTGACCAAGTCCCGGATATCAACGACTTTGGAGTGAGACTGGGTTAAATCCCACTATATCCCATCATATCTTTGTTGTTTCAATTTTGACTAAAAATCCTTCCACCAAATTAAAAAATACACATTATGTGACAGCTTTGCAGTGACACAAAGAATAAACGGTTTGACATGTTAGACGCCAAAAAGAAATGACTGTGACTAAAAGGATGTTATAGTCACTGAGAATCGCTTCAATATAGGTGATGTTATAACAGTATTTATATCGACGTTTTGCTCCACAGTTATCAGATTTAAACAAAAATCCTGTTACCAAATCTCTTTGTGAACTGACACGCCATGTATTTGAAATGGGTGACACATTTAAACTCCAGTTTCATTCAGATCTAACCTCTAATGCTAACCCAAGCTTTTTATACATGGACCACTGGTTATTTTTTTCTATGTCTCAAAATAATCAGTGAATCATTCATAAATGCCACTTTAAAACAAATGTGTTCGTACGAGAGATTCTTGCATGAGGCCTGATTTGTTCTCAAAACACCTCTGCAGTTTTATCATCAGCAGGGATTTGAAGTATTAAAACAGTCTCTATCCACAGAATCCAAACACGTCCTCCTCCCTTATTGAACAAAAGCCAAACAAAAACAATAATTATAGCGGGACCTTGTCTGTACTTGCCGCCCTCTGGCAGATTGAGAGTGTGCCAGGTGTAAAGTGCAATGGAGGAGTTTAAAGCCAAAGACGTACTTCATCAAAGCTTTCAGCATCGTCCTGCCAATAAGGTGACAGTCGAACTTTGTCCTTGTCTGAGGGAGTTTTACTGTTAGCGCACCAACCTCCAGGCAGCTATTAGACTTCATAGACGTCTGTTCACGCCTTAAGCTACAGACAAAATATAGCTATATACACTATAAATTAAATCCATAAGGTAAAAGCTATATCAAATGTAGGGTTCTGAAACAGTCTGATCTTTAGCCTCAGTCATAAACTAAACATACAGTTCAAAATAAAAGCCAGTAGCAGCTGTTAGCCATGCAACATTTTCAAAGTGCTAACTAGATAGTCAAAAAACAGTGTATAGACTCGTACAGAAGTAGCATCACTTATGACCTATTAGAAATGTGTGGTGGTGAATTTGTCTGCAGAGACTCTGTACTCTGCCTGTATTATATGATATGTATTTTAGCTACTTAAAAAAGTCCCACCGAAAAAAATCAATATCAGTTTAAGTGTACGCTATATTGAGAGAATTTTCATTGTGTTACCTTTTCGTCAGACGGGGAAGTTAACAGCTTCAGTTCCGTATCTGTGCTCTCGTCAAAGCCACCAGACTGCATTGACACAAACAGTAATTTTGGCTCGCTGAACACAGGAGCTGCTGGTCTACTGCTGCTTCAATCGGTAAGTTTTGTTATCGTGCGACTTTGGTGAATCTCGACTAAACGCCAAAGTCACACAATAACACAAAAAAACCTAACTGATTGCAGCAGTGGTAGACTGGCAGCTCCTGTGTTCTGTGATCTTAAATCACTGTTTTTCTAAATGGAGTCTGGTTTTGAAGAAAGCAACATCACTGCTTCAGTTCCCTGTTGAAAATTGCTATTTGACATTAAGGTAAAGCAGTGAAAATACTCTCAATATAGCGTGTATTTAAACTGATATTGATTGTTTATATAAAGATATAAATTGTTTTTCGGGAGCCCAGAAAAACCAACACATTCTTAATCCGACCTTGTCACATATTGACGTTTCGTCATGGATTTCCCACGTCCAGATATGACGTGCAAGGTACCCTGGGTGTGTTGGTTCTTGACATTCTGGGACACTGTCAAGTTCTGCCTGTTACATGCGTTGTCTTCTTTCAAGATACACTTCTCTTTTCACAGGAAATTTACCGTTTACATACAGTCTGTTTTCAAAATAAATGCACTACGTTGGCACAACACCGCAAGTTCTTTTCTTTCAACGACAAAAGCTCGTGGTTAGGTTCAGGGAAAAAGAACAGGGTTTGGCTTTAGACTCTTATAGGATACAAACACTGCTCTCTCAGGTGAAAGTCGGTGATTGTTTCCCTCGTTTCCCCCTGATGATGCCGGGTGCTGTTAAACTATAACAGCAACCGGCCATGTATCATGCCGAATTGAAAGGAAGCCCTTGTTTGTTGGTTTCTGATGCTGCAAGTCCCTGCCCAAGCGCCATATTTTGATCACTTCGGAGTGAGACTGGGCTTGAAAAACACAAGACTTAGATTGATGCTATCACCAGTCAGAGCAGCCGCAGCCGACATGGGCGTGCCATCTTTATCTTTACACACCATTTTGAAATACTAGTATTCACTAAAGTAAAGTTTCTTTTATGTCTGACCTCTCAACAGCCCTTTCTGACCCAAACAGCTGAGCTGAGGAGAAATACAGTGTGTGTACGATTTACAGTTGAGAAAGCCAAAGAAAAGGGCTGTCTGACGGTGAGATAAAGCGGTACAAAGATCCTCAATATAGCGCCCACTTAGACTGATATTTTTAGGTGGGCCTTTTGTAAGATGGCTAAAATACATTTTGATATCAACCCTGTCCACAGCAGTGTAATGCTGAGCTTCCCCGGTGGGACTCCTGCCTGCTATTCCAAACTCTGGGTGTGCTGAACGTCATCCACTGAAGGTAACACATTGACTATAGATAAATACCTCATACAGCCCCACTTTAAAAATCCTGAACTATCCCTTTAAGTAGGTCTTGACTACAACACAGAGAGCGTACGGTACCAAGACAGGTCTGATGATTGGCCCGATTAATCAAACACTGATAGCAGAGCGCAACTAGCCTAAATGTTTAATGACAAACAAGAGCATTTCCCAACGTGCTGAAGTGCTCATTTATAACTGCTCCTTACAAGTTCCTCAGACACGGTGGCAGCCTCGATGCAATATAACTGTGGGACACTTCATTAAGTTTAAACAAACATTACTCTCACGAACATTAAAGCGGGAGTGAAAGGCAGCCGTCATAATGTAACTATAATATCATGCTGCATAAAAGCGTGATGGATATGAACTGGGATGATAATGAGAGCATTAGTCTTTCTAAGCTGTTTTAAAGCTTACAGGAAGCCGTCTGAGTGTGTAATGTTTTGTACGCTGGAGCAGGTAGTCGGAGAAAGTGACAGATTTAGTGCAAACAGGAACTCTGTGAGACAAAATGCATATTCACATCCTGGTACCGCCTCACGTTATCGTTCAGGGTCCTTTGCAAGAAAAATTACCAATTCAAATCAGGATGGGATTCAAGCTGTGATTGGCCACACACACACACACACACACACACACACACACACACACACCAGGCATGACAATGTATGACTCTAACACACACAAACACGTGTAGTGGGAGCTTGTTTATGCTAGTGAACAGACACTGTGCTGTTAGGGACCCATTTTAGCCTCAATGGGTGTCCATCCACGAGCACCGTCCTTAAAAAAGACAGTGTCTTTTTCCCTCCATTTGCATTTCATTTTCCTCTCGAGGGGCTCCATTACGGCTCTGAGTGGCTCCATTTCTTGTTCACTTTTTCTGAACAGGGTGTCCATTAACATAGTTGCCGTGTCCCTCCTCTCGCCCAGTGTCTTTAGGGCTTCATTTTGGCTGGGGTTGTTGTGTCCATCACTCTGCCATTAAGAGCTTTCATATCCTGCTTGCGTCCAACTGGGGCTCAGTTTCTTAATATGGGGTTCCTCATCAGGGGCTGAAAAGAGGGAGGGATTGTGCTGAGCTGTGACTCTCTCTCATTCCCACCTCCTCCCCTTCCTCCACTCAGCTGCTACATGTACGCTCAAAATCTGGCTGCTTTGCTGTAGTCAGCCATGTCAGAGTCACTGCTACAGCCAGAGATTGACATGCCATGCAAAGGCCATTCATTTCTATCATGTGTAAAATGCTCTGATTGATATTGTGGCTGCATGGAACTCTTTTATGAACTCTTTTATCTGTGCAATGAGAACAAAACCGTCAGTAGCGGCAGCTGTTTGACTGCTTTTTGAGATGTTTATTGGCGCAATAAAGGAGAATGTAAGTGACGGTGGTTGATTCTGGAGTTGTATGATGGTTTATTGAAGTCTCTGTTGGAGTAGTAAAAAAGAAAGCCCCTTTCTTTAAGTGTCTTTTTACTGGTAATGTTATAACAAAGCATGTGTGTTCCCTAAACTCTGGTAGGTCACAGCACACACAATATAAGGGCCTTCAAGGCAGGTGAAGCGATGAAATCTGAGCTCTGCAAAGGAATATGCATCCGTGTAAACTTCCTCACTCCACCACTGGATACTTTTACTAAAGATCCTACGATATTTGATGTTCAAGGAGTTACGTATAATGAAATGTAGGCTATGTGGCTGCACACATAGACATTATTTCCACACCGTAAATCTGGTTGGTGCTCTAATTTAGGCCACGATAGGTGGATGATTGGTATCTCTACCCTTTTCATGACAGATTTCTCCATGTGACGACATCGAGTGGCAGAGAAGCTCTGACTCTTTGCTCTAAAGTTTGGCAACAAAACTTAACAAGTGATGATATTTTACACAGCTAAAGAAAAGTCAAACTCTACTGTAGATTCTGCAATTACACTACGTCTGCATCACTGATATAATACAGCATCAAACACGAGGAATGAGCCAGGAATGCAAAGGTGCTTGATGTCTAAGACTGTTAAAGTGCAAATACAGAGAGTGCTGTAGTCATACTTGTAAAGCACCTCATTAAAAGCTGAGGCACTTTACAAGGAGAAAGAGGTGAAGGATATCAGTGCAGCTGACCGCTGAACTTTAAGGTCCAGTTGTTGTGACAAAGGGAGGATGTGTAGCCACTCTGCATATCCCTCCAGTATCATGTTGAATGTGGTCTGCAGCAGCACTAGATAATAAAGTCTAAAGAATATGACTGCATGCGTGAGTGTGTGTCTGTCTGTGTGTGTGTGCGTTGGGGACAACATGCCGGTCTCTTACCATGATGGTAGTGACGACAACCGTGCGGTTCTCCATGCCAGAAGTGTCATTTGGAAGCAGCGGAGAGTCCTGGATCAGCACCAGTTTGTCTGCGTCGTTCCAATAACCGATCTGCCGAGAAAACTAAGTATGAGATTGTGTATTGGTGAATGTGTACATGTGTACTCACTAATGTACTCTAAAATGCAGTGTGTACAACTTGCTTTGCAATTTTAGAGGAGCCCTTTGTGTCTGAGCAGCACAGTGGAGCTCTTTGCTCGACAGAATTTGATGTAACTTTCCAAAACAACATAAAGGAAAGTCTCAATGTTCCTGTGTGTCTGTGTGTCTGTATGATGCCGAGATGTTTTGAACAAATTGCATATCCAAAGCACTTTGCAATTTGAAAAACACAAATGCAAAAGCCATAATGGAAGTGAGCATCGACATTAAAACGTGTCTGTTTGAGAAGTAACTTAAAAGTTGTTGGCTTGGTAATTATGATTACTATCGCTATGTCGATCCATCCATTTTCAGCCGCGAGCGAAGCACCCCAGACGTCCCTCTCCTTAGCAACATTTTCCAGCTCCTCCTTGGGGATCCTGAGGCGTCCCCAGGCCAGACGAGATATATAATCCCTCCAGCTTGTTCTGGGTCTGCCCCGGGGCCTCCTACCAGTGGGACGTGCCCAGAACACCTCTAACAGGAGGCATCCAGGAGGATCCTGATCAGATGCCGAACCACCTCAACTGACCCTATTCAACATGAGGGAGCAGCAGCTCTACTCCGAGCTCCCTCCAAATGTCCCAGCTTGAATTATTGCTATGTTATTGTCACAAATAAACAATAAAGTTTAGAATCTTAGTAGTAGTAGTTTCGTGCAGTAGTTTCATACTCATGTACTCCACCATCTAACCTTAGGGTATTATGAAGCTAGCTATGCAGTGATGTTAGCATTATATCACCTGAGGAAACCTATGCTGTACCTGTGACATGGAGACATAGATATATTAAGGCTGAAGTGTTGCTCAACACACTCGAGATACGGAAAGAAAGATATGCCAAAGAGAGCTTTTTTGGATTGACACTGTGGTTGCACTTCAGCCTACAGGCCTTTATGAGGATTTTGATATGATAGTTAAGCTGTAATCCAAGATGTTTTTCCATTTTTCTCACCTGATACCCTTTCATAACACTTTTGTTTTGAGATGTGTTTGCTATAGATTTGGGGATCTCTGATTAATGATGGCTTTAGCCTGATCTCTCTCAAAGCCCCATTCACTATGTGATGAAATTGTAATTCAGTACTTAAAAAAACGACAACTCAGGAGGAGTTTGTGCACAGGTGTGTTGCAAATGATTAGATTGAGATTGGTTACCTTGTACGCTCTGATGAAGGTCAAATTGACTGAAAGCTCAACAATAAAGTGAAATGCTGCCTAGATGTAAGTGTGTGGAAATCTTTTCTACGAACAAGTGTCGCTCAACAGAAATTAAACAGTCATGTTGTTTTCAATTTATGAGTTTTGCATTTGTGTCTTCAGTTAATGTGCTTGTGTTTTCCAAATTTGCAAAGTGCTCTGGACATGCAGTCTATTGGAAATGTATGGGTCACTGCATATTTGACTTTTTGACCTAAAAGTGGACATTTGTCATGACCAAAATGTAAAGCTTGAATTGAATTATCATTGAAATGGTCCAGTGATGGGGAATGTCTTGTATCTGTGTGATACTGAGAAGCTTCTAAATTATACTTTCAGTTAAAATATGAATCATACTTAACCGTCTATATAACTTTTTGATCAGATTAAAAAAAGAACTCCTGGCAGTTACCTAGAAGTAAAGCTGAAAACACGCCGGCGCCACTGCGGTGAATTGCGTCATGTGGCGCATGTTACGTGCCGCCCCTTGCACACACCGGATACGTCACGCTGCACTTTGTCAACAGATGACCACGCAAACTTATTACTACTTTAACTGAAAGAACTGTACTTCCTCTATATTTGCATTAGCTTAAAGTCATGTGTGTGCGTGTGCGGGTGGTTGATTAGCGCATAAGAATATGATTGATTACTAGTAGAATAAAAGATGGAAGAATAAAGTTGTAATTTTGATGTGAAAAAGCCGTTATAACCGAAGAACAAATAATATTTTCAGAACACAGTTGTAGAAGAAAAAAAAGGGTCGTAATATTTGGCAAAGGAGTATAATTAAATACTCCAGGGTAGTAAAGTGGTCAGTCTTAGTTTTAATTTAATTTCTGAACATTAATCCATCATGCTGTGACTCCTCTTAAAGACAACACATGGATGGAAACACTGACTCATTGCCCCGCCTCAGCTGAAACGCCCTCATGCAAGATTCCAATTTCAAGCTCAATGCTGTGCTCCTTCTTTTTGTCAGAAGCTATTTCATGTTCAGCTGACATTACTGTCGTCTTCCAGAAGTCCTTCAGGGTCAAACTGACCGAGTGGAACTGACAGACATGATATGTTGCGGTCACAATATTAGCGTCCTCTGTCTGATAAGAGGAGCCGCGCGGCACTGTGTGATTTTTAATAAACAGCCAACATCTGCAAACCAATATGGTGTCAAACTGATATATCGATCCTACAATAGACACAGAGCTTTGACAGCAGCCATAAGCAGCTATAAGTCAGTGAGAGCGGAGACGCTGAGCGAGCCAGCTGGCCTCTGGTTGGCCGCCGCTGGTGGGCAGGCAGAGGAAATGAGGAGCTGTGATTGGCTGATACCTCCTGCGTGCTGGGGCACTGGGATGATTGAGAAACATGGAAAATGCAGGAGAGAGGCTGTGACACACACACACACACACACACACACACACACTCAACACCATGTCCTGACAGGACCCTTGCTGTTCACAGGAAGACAGGCCAAAGCAGCTTTTGATTGATGGGAACTCGTCTCAGCTTCCTCACCCCCTCCCCCTCCTCCCCTCTACCTTGATTGCTCTCTATTTCATTTCATCCTCTCGCCATCACTCTCACAAGTGCTCTCTCTCTCTCTCTTTTTCCCATTTTCCCCAGAATTTCGTCAACACACATCCATCCTCTCACATCACAAGCCGAGATGGTGGCAGAGGCTGAAGTTTTTTTTCTCCACAACCTACTTATGATAATAGGAAATGCCACACTACATACAGTGTCGTTGCAGCCCCCCGATACTTCACATGACAGCAGAGGATAGATTGTGCATGCTCACATATACTGACTGAATAAATGTAGGCAGTGTGGTGTGATGTTTTACCCGTCTGGGTCCATTATTCTTCAGTTCAAACACGTCCATAGTGTAGTTGACCCTGCGGCCATAGTGGTCAAACTGGACATTACCTGTTAATCCCTGCAGCCGGACCTGCACACAGAGGAGAGCAGAGAAATACAAACACACAGTGATCAAACAGCAGCAGACAGAATTAATTTAAAGGAAACCTGCAGCAGATCAGGATCCATTTTTAACAAAGGAGTTTAATAAATCAGCTTTTTACTAAGTGTTTTACATTGACAAAAGCAAATCAGTACAAGTGCACTGTAAACAAAAATGGTACTATACATTACCAAAATGCAGTTCTGTGGATCATAATCATGGGGAACCTGTCTTGGTCTGATATGATACCCATTTTTTAAAGATGCTATACAGTGCCTTTCTCAAATAGTGCTGTATAGAGCCGTATTGTGTTAACGTTTTTGAGTCTGGGGGCCATTAAATAGTGCTAGATAATACCATGGATGAGTAAATATGCTTCTAAATGATCATTTTACTTAAACATAAATTGAATTTATTAATTTCTTACAAAATGTTGGCTTAAAAAGATTCAGGATCCTGCTCTAAATCATTACTAAGAAACACAATGTTAACTTTTCGAACCTGGAATATTTCTATCCATATGAGGGAGACTAGAATTAGAGCCTCGTGGTTGTACGCTTCCACAAACCAGTCAAGTTGCCCTTATAGTTGACATTCACGTCTGTGAAAATGTGGATGCTTCAAACACATCTCCCCCCAGCAGCACAGAAGATTGATACAACCAGCACAGTTTCAAGGTGGACACCCAGGATTAGTGTCACCAATTCAGTATCTGACCAAATGTTTTCCATTCTGTTCCTGAGATATGACGTTGAGTGATGGCCAAACTGTGATGTCACAGTGAAGTTGGCACTGTAAAATGACGTCACTTCATAATTTTACCCCATTAGACATTTTTTTTTACATTTTGTCATAGTGTATGAAATCTTGACCAAAACTCAAGAATTCGTACACAAATTATGACAACATTTCCATACAATGGCAAGAGGCATGTTTTGTGAGGTCACAGTAACCTTGACCTTTGACTTTCGATCAACAATTTCGAATCAGTTCGTCGTTAAGTCCAAGTGGATGTTTGTGCCAAATTAAGGCATTCTTGAGGTACTGCATTCACGAGAATGAAACAGACGAGGTCACTGGGACCTAATTGAATTAGTTCATCCTTGAGCTCAAGTGGACAGTTGTGCCAAATATAAAAAAAATTTCTCGAGTTGTGAGCTTTCACGTTGACAAAAACAGGAAGGACAACCCCAAAAGTAAGGCCTCTGAACACAGCTATCACCAACACAGAACCACTGCTTTAATGTGAGGAACCAATATTTTTCTGTGTGAATAAAAGTAAAATAAGATGGACCGTTTGATATCTAAAGTTAGATAGAAAATACTCTTAAGCCCCATTTCCACCGAGCAGTCAGGTACGGTTCAGTTCAGTTGACCTTTTTTTTTTTTTTTCCAATTCCACTGTGAAAAGTTGTGGAAGGTACCAATGGAACCGTTCCGTACCGTCCCCATTTTTGGTCCCCCGTCTGTTGGGATACCTAGCACACAGATCTGGTACTAAAAGGTGGAGCTGTGAACACTCACTGCAGCATTGCGGAGTGCCGTTACTTGGGCAACACTAAACCCCTGAGCTTGCCTGAGAAGGACTAAATGCACAAACCTGCAATTTTTTAATATCCTGTGGAGAGAGACTCTCACTGCAGCCTGTTCTATTTCATTCTGAGCTGTAACTGTTTCTTGATTGTTCACCTCAATTTTGTTTTGGTACGTTGTGGCAAAAAAGTTTAGTGGAAAAAGAAAGAAGAAAGTTGAGTCTCCTCAAATCAGAAAATCAGTGTGTGATGTTTTATCTGTAAGCAGTCTGCAGCAGGCTAGCCTGCACCCTGCATTTCTCCTTTACTTCCTCCTCTGTTCCTCTCTCACCTGTTTGAGAGTACGCTCCATGTCAATGCCTTGGTTCCACGGGGCGGCGGGGTTGGCGAGACAGTCACCAGCGTTCCCCCGTCTGGAAATGTCCACCTTCTGCCTGCGCAGGTTCCTGAAGGCCTCTGCCATCACCATCACCCCGTCGTATGTCAGCGCTGAGGTGTACTGGGAGACAAAAGATACGGACGTTACTGTCGGCGCCATCAGGTTATTGTGCAAGTTTCTGTAGCAAGAAAAACAACCTCACATCACATAAAAACACTGCAGTAGGGATTACGGTTCAACTCTGACCTATTAGATTTATTAAAATGAAATAAAAACACAGTACGGAGGCAGCGTGTGATTTGTAAATTACAGTCTCTGTAACCTGGAGGCCGACCTGCTGCTCTGTCTGTTTTGGGTGTACACAGCGCTGGGGGACACACACTAAGAAAAGGTATGAGGCCAATTAAATGCTGATTTAGCTGGACAGGCAAAATGTTCTGCAACATTTGCTGGTTAGATCTCCTTTAACACACTCTGCATAAGGCTGCCTCTGAGAGCACGCTGAGTTTCTGCAGGGCCAAGCAGTACGTCCTAACAGCCTGGCTGTTGCAGAGAAGCAGCAGTTTTACTCTGCTCATTATTTTCTGGAAATGGAAAGGAGGAGAAAGAGCGAGGAGAGAGAGCATATCCCCCATGGTGTATGCCTCCCAATTTCCCCTAATCTATCTTTGACCTGAGGATTCTGTGTTGCCTCTGATTATTTGCGTCTGCAAGAATCACTGTCTCCGTCATGAGTCGTACATTTCCCTAAAACTCACCTCCGGCATGGCACAAAACTAATTGAGTGAATGACGAAAAAGGCAAGAAGATGGAGGAGTGTGAGCTGGGGGGAAAGAAAGGGAAAAGGCGAGTGTTTTGTCCAGCCGGGTAGCAGTCTGGCATTAATTATCCCGGCTAGCAGGAGTTCATTAACTTCGCCTCCGGCCGGGGGTGAATCCTATTCATTAGCCCACTGCTCATTGTGACATTATGGCTCTCTGCAGAGACTGCTGCACTCTATCCCCCTGTTACTCTTTGACAAGCTGCCCACAGAAACACACACAAACAGTCGAGGTGTGGGATAAACTCACTAACAGTCAGGAGCATCTTCACTGCAATTAGGGACAGGGACCTGGACAGGGGGACGGATTAATTCCATGATCAGTCACATCAGTGCAGATTTCGGGGGTTCACAGGGGGACACGTCCTGCTCAATCTTTAGAACAAGTGCATTTGTCCCCCCCAGTAAAAACATGGCAGTAGCAGAAGACTTTTATTTGACAAATTTTTAAGACATTTACAAAATGAATTGATGCAGAAAAGGCAAAAATTGGTGTCTCCAGACTGCAGGAAATTAAAGTAATTATAGATCCGTGTGGAGGATTTGAGTGGATATATTGGGAGAGATAGCAGATAATATAATAAGTGTGTTTTCTTTAGTGTTTCATCACCTGAAAATATGAATCACTGTGTATTTGTTACCTTAGAATGAGCCATTTATATGTACATATACANTATGTATATGTATGTGTGTGTGTGTGTGTGTGTGTGTGTGTGTGTGTGTGTGTAGGGAGCAGGTCCTCGTCTACAGAGTCCGCCATGGTGCACTGCCATGTTTCTACAGTAGCCCAGAAGAGACAAACCAAACATTGGCTCTAGACATGGTTATTCATAATTTTGTGTCAGCCATCGTATTTAGCAGCCCCTCCATGATTTTGAACATGAAACTGCTTTATTTATTGTTTTTACTGGTTTTAACCACCAGGGGTCTTATTAATAAACCAGTGCGTAGGATGCATACTAAAAGTGTGTGTGCAGACACAATGTTGTGCGCCAAAAAATATTCTGATTTATAAAACCCTGTGTATGTCTAACACTGCACAATTTCCTTTCATAAATCACCAAATCAACTAGGAATTATCCGAGCGTGGATCAGCCTCATATCCGGCCCTCTACATGCCTACATTCAGCCATAAAAGGTCGGTGTAAAGCGCCTCACGAATGTTGATGAGCCTCCTGATCAGCGGTTCTTTATGATTACCAGTCTCACCACGGTAGGTTTACAGCATCAGACTGATTGCGTCTCAGCTTGTCAAAATGATCATGACAGTCAGTGGTATTCCTCACCCTGAGATCAGTGTTGGGCAGTAACGCGTTACAGTATTAACATTAGTTTTTCCAGTAACTAGTAGTGTGACTAATTACTAATGATATTTCAGTAATAATATTACAGTAACCCTAAAAACAAACAACTCCTTACAACATTACTTTTGTTTTCACATCACCACCATGTGCCCTTGCCACAGCAGCCGCAGGTTCAGTCCCAGCCTGTGGCCCTTTGCTGCATGTTGTCTCTCTCTTCCCCTTTGACGCTTCAAAACTGTCCTGTCATTTAAGGCCAAAAAGCCTAAAAAATAATCTTTTTTAAAAAAGGGGGGATAAAAGTCAGGTATGATATGAGGCGAAAGATTATATATTCTACATATAACGACTCCTTTCACACATAATTTCTACAATCTGGCTTCAGTTCACCACCTCACCATCTGCATCGCCACTGTCCCCTGTCTCCAAAATGTTTGTACATATAGGTCAGAGTTTCTGCACCAGTGCACACACTCTCCCGTCAAGTTTGTTTTTATAAATCACAACATCTGCACCGGAAGTGGCGCACGCCTCTTTTAGGCCTCATTTTACGTGCACATAATGGTTATCAATGAGGCCCCTGGAAGAGACCTCCGCGGATAATTTAGCTAACAGCAAAAACCTCCCGAATGTCTGGATTATTAGTTATCAGAGAAAAAAGTGAGCACACATTCGCAGGTGCTGAGCTACCGGCCCGTCTCCAACATGCCGAACAGCGTGTTGTAACATGTTGTAATGCTGATTTGTAATGTGAAACTGCTTTATTCAGTGTTTTTAGTGATTTAAATCACCAGGGGTCTCATTTATAAAACAGTGCATAGGATCCATAGTAAAAATGTATGTACGAACAAAAGCCAAAAATGGCGTGCGCCAAAAAATATTCAACAATTTCTACCATCAGGCCTCCACCTCACCATCTGCATCGCCAATTTCCTGTTTCCAAAATGTTCGTAAACATGGGTCAAAGATTTTCCCATCAAGTCTGTTTTTACAGATCACAACTTTAGCGAGGGAAGTGGCGCACGCCTCTTTCTAAACTCGTTCTGTGCATACGCAATGTTTATAAATGGGACCCCTGGCTGTTTGTTTTGGAGAGGAACAGACCTCTGTGGATAATTCAGCTGCTGGTAAAAACCTCCTGAACGATTAACAATGTAGGAATTCAAACCGGGAGAAGTTTCAGCTGGTTGCAATGTGCAATCCTCACCACTAGATGCCACTAAATCCCCCTAAATCTTACACACTGTTCCTACGATGCTCAAAATTTTCTGGTGGAGGACCCCTTGTTTTACGTTTGCCCCCCATAATTCTGGTATGTGACATAAGCCCCACTTAAATCATTAAAAACACAAAAAACTGCTAATTAAGGATACTTAAATGCGGAAATGGATTGAGCGTCTTCAACGCTTCCTATTGTACAGTACAGGAATCTCTCATTAGTCCACTAACTGCTGATTCCTGGAACTTTTACACACCAGGCATTACATTTGTCTTTGCAAAGTGAGTAAACATGCCAGAAGAAGGCCTAAATTCACTGGCAGTGTTCATATATTAGAAGAAAAGAAGGGCTGACTGTGACTCAGGCTGTGGACAAACTTAATGGGGAGCAGAGTAATTTAGTCTGAGTGGATTTCCAGGAGAGAGAGCAATTTATCAAGAAACACACACACACAAACACACATGGATAACACAAACACACACACAACGTCATGCGATATCGCCCCGTGGTGTAAACTTTTAATTTGAACCACCCCAATCCATCAGGCACACATACTACACACTGCTTGACTCACACCGTTTCCACTCCACTGCATCTGTTTTTTTTTTTTAAATAGAAATCTTTGTTGGGCACAGATTTGCTGGAGGGAGTGAAGGAGGTTTGCTGACCACCATGGCGTGATGCCTTCTTGCCCCAGTGCCATTTGCAATCTGTGTGGCTGAGAAGAAGTGGGTCAGTCTGTCACATCTCTGCAGATGACGGCGTTAGATGAAGCTGAGCAGATTGCTGATGATGATGATGCCTGTTCCTTGTGTATACAACCTCATATTATCTGAATATACTTATTAGTTTTTGCACAGAGACAGTTTCTTCTGTATTTCTGTATCAGCGTGCTGCTGCTGCTGTCTGCACACCTTGCAAACACGCTGCTATATTTTCAGACCCTTTTCATCTTATCTGCCACTGTCCTTTCTCGTGTTATCTTTATTTGCTGCATCTGCTATTTTTTCGCTGTTGCAACAACTCCAGCCCCCCCTGAGGAGTCATTAAAAAGGACCGTGGCTTTGCATGTCTTAGTCCATTGACTACAAATTGTGTGTAATTTACATGACTGCCCACTGTTCCTCAAACACATGCCATCAGCTTTAGATACATTTCCCATCCTCCAGGTAGCTGTTGGTTTCAGCTCATTACGCAACAGTCTGAAAATCAAATTAGAGATTTTGAAATGTTCTGAAAGGTTCAGTGTGTAGGATTTAGGGGGGTATATTAGCAGAAATGGAATATGGTATAATAAGTTTGTCTTCTTTATTGTGTAATCACCTGAAAATAAAATTTTTTGTGTTTTTGTTAGCTTAGAGTGGGCCGTTGATATCTACATATTGAGCAGGTCCTCATTTATGGGGATCGCCATGTTGCACCGCCATGTTTCTACAGTAGCACAGAATGGACAAACCAAACACTGGCTCTAGATTCACATTTTCACGATGGCAACTGTAGCTAGCAGCCCCTCTGGGATGACAGAGTCGGGAAAACGTGGATTTTATAACACAAAACTGCTTCATTCAGTGTTTTTACTGGTTTAAATCAATGGGACCAGTTGTTTTGGAGAGGAATCGACCTCTGTGGAGAATTTGGCTCCCAGTTAAAATCTCCTGAACAATTAATTTTGAAGGAATTCTGACTGGTAGAAGTTTCAACTGGTCTGCAATCTGCAATCCTCACCACTGAGCCTGGTCTCAGTCTAAAGTCGTTGAAATCCGGTGCTTGGGCAGTGAGTTACAGCATCAGAAACCAATGAAAAAGGCAGTTAACAACAGTTTAACGGCGCCCAGCAGCATCATGGGGAAATGGGGCGGGACAGTAGTAAACTTAAGGCAGCGAAAGTCCAAATGAAGTGGGCGAGAGGGGTGGTGGATGGGCTCAACAAACACCAACTTTCACCTGATAGAGCTTTTCAAGTCCCTTAAGATTCTAAAGCCAAACCCTGTTCTTTTTTCCTAAACCCAAACACGTGCAAAAAACATCTATTCGCGGTGTTGTACCGACATAGTGTGTTTATTTTGAAAGAGACTGTATGTAAAGGGTGAAAACGGAAGTGTACTTTGAAAGACGAGAACCTGACACGGCGTCACAGAATGTCAACAACCAACGCACCCAGGGTACCTTGCACGTCGTATGTGGACACGGAAAGTCCATGACCAAAACGTCAATATGCGACGAGGTTGGAGTGAGAATGTGTTGCACTGTAAGATGCCACTAAATCCCCCTAAATCTTACACAGTGTTTCTTAAACAAGCTCACATCTGACATTTTAGAGCTAGCATCTGAAATCACTGATGCAGGAGGGGACTAAACCCACCTGATCCTTTACAAAATGTCTCTCTGAATCCACCACAAAAGAGTTTTCCAAAGGGTCCCTGTTCAAAGCTGCAGCACCAAACCACAAAAGGACAAATGTTGTGCTGCACCACTGATCTGATCTCATACCTTGGGCGGGGCGTCCGAGCCCGGGTACTCCCTCTGATCCAGCTTGTTCCAGCGCTGCATCAGTTTGATGACCATGGGGTTGCTGAAGTCGACCAGCTGGAAGCCTGTCACGTTGGCTCCTCCGTGCATAAAGCGCTCTAGGTTGATGTCCTTAAAACCCTTCAGAGGCAACGACAGGAAAGAGAGAGCTGAATCCATGGATGGCAGAGAGAAACAAGTAAAAGACAGCAACAATGAATTAAAAAAATACTAGTTTGGCACCAACACTGAACCACTGTATATATGAGGTGAATAAGAGCAGGTGAAAATTTGGTTTAAATGCTTTTTAGCACTGATCCAGGACCATCACACCACTTATCATGTTCCGTTGGGGCTGTCAGAGAGAGCTGCACATCACAGCAGTCTGGTGTCAGACCTCAATAGCTTCCATGGTTATGAATTCAAGCCCCTGATCCTGTAACCCAAGTATTCTTCTGAACAGCTCAGGACATTCGGAGTACAATACCCACGTGCCCGTACGAACACTGGAAGAATCCCTGGTTGCTGTAATTGTTCCTGCTGCCCATAGTGGCCCTGAAGAAATCTCTTTCTAACAAGAAGGAGGACAAAATCCATATTTTGTGTAAAAATGCAATGAGCCAAAGCTTCAACAAACATCTCACTAAAGCTGACCCTTGCAGTGTACCAGATTTGCTGTGGAGTTAGCGCTCTTGACCTTCACGCTACTCTCTGGGACAGGGAGCTGTGAGTGTGATGCAGCGGCACAGAGGAGGAGTAACTCTGCACAGTAAGGCTCTGAGATAACATTATCCTCTCTGCTCTGCTTGGAAGTGGTGAATTAACAGCTCACAGATATGTAATATGACAATCTCTGGCTTTTGTTTGACATCTAGTGTCAGCAGAAAATGTGGTTTCACATTTTCAATCTGTCGTTAGCAAGGTTAGCTTATTTACTATACGACTGCCGCTGTGACACTAAACGTCTCACTGAGCCTGTTCAAACTTTAAGACTTCACATGGAAAAAAAAAAAGAATTGTTGAATATCCGTCTTATAATATAGATAATATCAGAATCATATAATTCTGAATCTTTATGTGTTTTCCCGGACAGTATTTCCCTGCTGAGCTGCAGAGGACAATGGTAAATCAAACAAGGAACATTTCTTCTAAAGAAATACTGTAAAGTTAGAAAATACTTTAGAACAGTGATATTCAACTTGCGACCCATGGGCCAAATTTGGCCGGCATTACAGTGCCAGGTAGCCTGCTGACTATGTTCTAAATCACAGTCAAAATAAATTGATTCATATTGGGATTTTGTTTTGTACTTTGAATGTAAATAAGGTGCCAGAGTGCATAAAAAATAACTAAAAATAAAGCTTGTTTATCAAAAAAAGTGCCAGGGGAGGATACACCGGATCCTCTGACAGGTCCTGGGTTCGCCCCTGATGTCCTCAAATCTTATACACCCCCCTGTGCACACCTGACCTGTGGGGCTGCTGCAACTGGATTTGCCTCTGGGCAAAGATGTGTAAGGACAGCAAACGTCGAAAGGTTGAAAACAGGAACTTCATTTATTATATATAACAATAAATATTATTAATGTTTGCTTATTAACTGGCCCCTTGGCCTCCTTTCATTTTTGCAACAGTGGCCCCCGGGCAAAGCAAGTTTAGCACCCCTGCTTTAGAAGATACCCACTTGATGTGACTAACTCCAGCTGCTGAAGCCCAGTTTGAGCTTCTGCAGAACAAAGATTGTGGCTTTTGTTTCTTACACTGTAATCGTGTTAGCAAGGGATCTCTAAATGATGATTACAGTGGCCCCTTCAATGCACATATGGTCATGTGAATACTGTTTTAAAATGTGAACCTTTGCTTTGAGGTTATTGACTTTGGTACTGTATGTGTAACCCTATTTTCTTAGTTGGTAGCATTAGTCCTCCTGGCCTGTGGGTATTAACCTGGCCACAATTACTCTTTAATTAATCTTATTTAATCAACACTAATAGAGCAAGACTGTGTAGTTTGTGACAGTGTGTTCACAGCACAGTCCCTACTCAACCACTGCATGTTACAGAGTCACAAAAATGACAACAGATAAGACCTAAAATTATTCTTAGGCTAAGGGACATGAATTAGCATATGCATATATATACACATGTAAATATATAAACAGAATAATAATTTAAATGCTATAAATAATGGAGTATTTACTGTATGTAATAATAAACTTTCATTCTATAAATCCAAAATAACAATGTGGGTCATTATTGTTAATATATTATCATTACATCATCACTTCCTGTACTGCAGCACGACTGCACCCAACACAGATTCTCAGAAAGTCTGCAGAGCATTGGACTTCCAGAAAACATGCCCATTAGGTCAAGTCCAAATATTTGGATTCAGCCCTTCAGTCATTGGCTCATTCTGTAATTAATTTAATGAATGCCTCATTAACTGAAACGCTCAGGTTCCTTCTGACAGCCCTGAAATGTGGTGAGGCAGCCCGGGATTAAAGCAAAATGCTCAGTGAGAGGATTTCTGTGCAGCCATGACAAAAAACTTTGCTGGAAGCTATCTTTTATTTTCATCTCATTTTAGGCTCCAATCATTGTGCCTTTAAGAATTTAAGACAGCATTTTAAAATATTGGAGTGTTAGTTTTGTGTAGTTTTATGGTGTTTACAATTTAATTCAATGTAATTGCTATTTCTGCATTTGAAGTTTATATTCTGTGTGTGTGTTCTTGTGATACAAGAAGAGAGAAGTTGTTGAAATGACTTTCTGAAAATTACAGATGCTTTTATCCACCTTATTCCTGAGGATGCTACTGTAGAAGTGATTATGGGTGCAACTTCCTGTGAGATAGGGGACGTCGCAGTGAGCTAGTTAAACACATTAACTGCTGATTGATTGTCCAACATTGGTCCTTAGTCCCAGAGGCTAATCTCTGTGCCAACAGTGGTTCTTTCTGAAAGTAATTTACCTTTATTTTAGCAGATACAGTTGTATGCAAAAGTTTGGGCACCCCTGATCAAAATTTTGTTTACACTAAGTAGTTAAGTAAGTGGAAAATGAACGGATTTCCAAAAGGCATGAGGTTAAAGTTGACATAGTTCATCAATATTTTAAGCAAGATTACTTTCTAATTTCAATCTTTCACTGTTTCAAAATAACAAAAAAGGCCCTGAAGCAAAGGTTTGCATTGCAACACAAGCCCAGAGCATGATCGATCCACCCCTTTGTTCAACAGTTGGACAGGTGTCCCTCTTTTCTCTAAACATATCTTTGCTCATTATGTTTAAAATGTTCTGTTTTAACTTCATCAGTCCACAGGACTTGTTTCCAAAAAGCATCAGTCTTGTTTCGATGTGCCTTTGCAAACTTCTTGACGTTGAGTTTTGTGGTGAGGACACAGGAAAGGTTTTCTTCTGATGACTCATCCATGAAGGTCACATTTGAGTCTGATAAATCTTCCTGCAGGTCTTTTGCAGTCAAACAGAGGTTTTGATGTGCCTTTCTAACAATCTTACAAGCAGCTCTCTCGGAAAGTTGCCTTGGCCTTCCAGACCTCAGCTTGACCTCCACAGTTCCTGTTAACTGCCATTTCTTAATGGCATCACAAACTGAGGAAACAGCTCCCTGAAAACACTTTGCTATCTTCTTATAGTCTTCTCCTGCTTTGTGGGCATCAGTTATTTTATTTTTCAGAGTGCAAGGCAGCTGTTTAGAGGAGCCCTTGGCTGCTGATTGTTGGGACAAGGTTTCAGGAGTCAGAGTATTTATAAAGCTTTGAAATTTGCATCACTTGGCCTTTCCTAACGATGACTGTGAACAAGCCAGAGTCCTAACAAGCTCATTAAGGTCTGAGACCCTGGTGAAAGCTGTCTGAGAGCTCCAATGTGTTGGGGTGCCGAATCTGTTGCATGGTGCTCTTTTCCTTTTTTTCACTTAAAAATTGTACAAAACATAAATAATACAGTAACATTGCTTAAAATGTTGAGAAGCATGTTCCATCTTTAACTTAATGCCTTTTGGAGATCATCCTCTACTCACTTAATGATTCATAAATTAAATTTTGACCAGGGGTGCCCTAACATTTGTGTGCCGATGTACCACATTGTTTTTAACAGATGTTTAACTAATGTTAAGTTTGCATTTCCAAAATGTCCTTGGCTTCAACCACAGTGTTGAACATGCAGCCAGAACAAAAAGATTGTTCCTGTGACCAAGGGTACAGCTTCTATTGCCTACAGACAGTAATAGGTCGCCCCCTGTGTTGTATAACGTTACCCGATCGTCCAGTGTTCAAAAATAAAATGCACTGTCCCTTACAGAATCAATACGGGGCATCATTCATCCTGTATCTTTGTGCACACCCTACTCTAATGCATACACTATATTTTCACATGCTTGGAATGACATAATTTTTATTATTTAAAAAAAAAAGGAGTTTGTAAAGCAGAGAAGTATTAAATCAGATCTGTAGAAGAGAATGACACCTGGAATGACAGGTCTGTCACTCAGCGTGATACCCCCGTCTCTCCCTGTCTGACTGCACTCACATTCCACATTAGAAAATTGCTGGTTATAAAATAAACTCAGCAGCATACCTCGAATTATGTGTTCAATGTTAGTCATCTAATCAGAGTCAGAATCAGACTAATAATTTATTGACCCCTGAGGGGAAAGTGCGATTTGTTACAGTTGCTCCGATGTAAAGAATAGAGAATTATGAGAGGTAAGAATAAGAGTTTGAAATAGAAGTATGTAAATATAAAGTATGTGTTACTGATTTAGTTTTCGTCATAACATATACAAGGAATGTCAGAGGTTATTTATTTAACTACTTTACATTATTGATATTACTGAAATCATGTTTCACTCAGTAGAGCTCAGATTTAATAAATCAGCAGTAACTGCGTCGTTAAGGCAGACGAGTGGAGCATTAACCAGGAAACATCACGTTTATTCAATTTACATGGAGCTAAAATTAAAACAGAATCATGTTTAATGTTTGCCACATGTGTAAGTGTCTGTTTATGAGTCATAAAAAAATCATAAATCATCTTTAAGAAGGAGAAGATGGTTACCGTAAGCTAGCTCAGGTGCCATCATGTTAACATACTCACAGCAAGCTAACTGCTAATGTGCTTGGTTAAAAAGGAAAACAACCAGTGCCTTGAGATGGCTGACAGAGATGGCAGGGGTATCCTGTCTGAGGTGTAACAGGTGGTGTGCTTCACATATTTTATTTCCCAATCACTCTATTGAAGAGGATGAGCGTATACCGGAAACACCGATTCTGATTCACATAATTCACGCAGAGCATCATAGGGGCGAGGAATAAGGTGGATAGTTTCCTTTGTATCTAATGAACTCTAAAGCTTTTATACTTCAAGCTCCTTACCCAGCAATCATCGTTTCATATCTGTATATGACAAACGATACCAAAGAAAATAAGAAATTAGAATATATTATTATATTTGAATATGAAGTATATAATTGTGGTTACATTGGGTGTTCTGTTGCTCATAAATCTAAATGATTACAGTCTTTCTGGTTGGTTTGTCAGCCACTTCAGTGAATCCTGCTAATGTGTGTCTGTTGTCTGCTCTATCATCTGCTCTTATAGACGGCACAGGGGAAAACACAGGGAGGAGACAGTACACAGATATGAGACAGCAAGAGAGAGATGACAGACAGAAGCAAACAGACAAAGAAACCATCAGAAGTCATTTTCTCTCACCAGGTTGGCCATGATGTAATGGTAGCCTTTGACGTGTTTCCCGACACTGACGATCTGTGAGGAGGCGGAGCAGAGCTCAATGTTAATCTGACTGGATCACAGTATAGCATACGTTAATTACATGAAATGATGCGTGTGACAGGCGAGTGTGTGTGTCTTGACACGGTGGGACCATCGAGATTCATTCCATAGAGGATCGGACGTCGAAACAAATGAACAGGCGGTCACGTCTGTGTCTCACTGAGGAAGTAAACATTTCACGCTTTTAGAGACATGACAAAGCTTCTCGACACTCTTACACAACACAAGTACAACGGCAGAGCTGCATCTCAGTGATAAGAACTGATTTTGAAAGCTGACATCTGCTGGGAAATCCCACTGGACATCCAGTTAATAAGGGCGTGAATTAAAATATAAAAAAAAATCCTTTGGATCGCTCAGGAAAGCTCAGACTGATATCAATTCCCCAACAGCTTCACATGCTATCAAGACCTGAGCAGCAGGTAGTGAAACTCTGCTGTCTGTGAATGTTTCCAGCTGCAAAATGGAAGATTAAAATATATAAATACATCCTTTAGATCGATTAGAATCACAACATGTACACTGTAGGAGAGATTAGCATCCAATCCACACTGCTGAGAGGTCGAAAATAAGTCAGTTTGCTCATATTGAAGGCTCTGTTCATCCATCCAGGGTTTCATTAAGACAATCAGCAGTTGAAAGTAGTTACATCAAACTATTCACAGTGCATAGGCTGGATTATTAACAAGGGTGGTAATTCTAGTTAATTCTGGTGCTTCAGTATAGTGTCAGAATTTTTCAAGCATCTTTAAGCTAGAATTACCACCTCATGGTTGTATGCCTTCGCTACCCAGTCAAGTTGCATTTACAGTTCACATCCATGTCTGTGAGAACATGAATGCTTAAACACACATCTTCAATGAGGCAGCACCGTTTGTCTGTTTGTTCCTGAGATATGATATTAAGCAATGGCCAGAAAAGTCTTTCTGACCTTTGACCTTTTGGATATAAAATGGCATCACTTCATCATTATATCCTACTAGACATTTGTGTGAAGCTTTGTCATAAATACCATTTTAATTCCTGTCTTACGGCCTGAAAACTTGGTTTGTGAGGTCACAGTGACCTTGACCTTTGACCACCAAGCTCTAATCAATTTGTTCTTGAGTCCAAGTGGACGTTTGTGCAAAGTTAAAAAAAGACAGACTGAAGACAGTCTTGAGATATAGCTTTCACAAGAATGAGACTAACAAGGTCACAATGACCTTGACCTTTGACCACCAAAGTCTAATCATTGCATTGCTGAGTCCAGTCTATGCTGGAACACCTGTGTTCACCATGGATGTATAAAGAGACCTGGATACATCGTTGGCAGCGGGGCCTCAATTGCTCAGTGTACATGGAGCCAAAATGGTTCCACTGCCACCTTTAAAATAAGCCAGATGACCTGGTACTGCTTCCACACTGTGTAGCTCATAGAACAACCAGCAGTTCTACGCTCCCCTAATTTAAATTGTGCAGCTCTTCTATTTTAGAAATGTTATCACAAAGATTGGATTAAATCAAGCTGGTGAAAGGATTCATTTCGCAGGGGTTGTGACAAGTTGTGAAAAGTATCCACTTATTTACAGACATCTCTTTCGCCATGAAAGTCTATGGGGAAAAGTCTTTTTGGGCCACAGGGCACCACGTATCAGGTCAGACAGTTGTAATTTCACTGTTTAGCCACTATAAAAATTGGCTTCAAATGTCAGCACACTTCCTAGGAGCCTGGTTTTCACCCTCGGTCTCAGACGCTCCGATTTAGCGCCCATGTCTTTAAGCCCCCTTCTGAAAAAGCCCACTCTGCTCTGACTTTTCAGCACTTCCGAGTTTCTTCATGTTGGAATCTCTGCAGCATTACGGCAGCCAGGAGAATGACTGTCAGAGTGTGATGCAACTGTCTACCAAGAAAAATCCCCAATTGAAACTTCTAAACCAAAATCTTCACAACAGGACATGTTCCAGCAGGCACAAATTAAAAACACCAGCAACCAAGATGACGTGTTCCCCTGACGTTAGGATGTAGCCACATGTAGCAGTGCAATATACCTGGAGCAGATGACCATGTAAAGAAATCTGTCAGTAGCTGACATCAGCTTATTTTGAAAGGGGAATAAAACACTGGAAACAGAGTATTCAGAACGTCTGAAGCCTGAGGGTTTGAAACTATGGACTTTGTAACACTATATATATATATAGTGTTACAAAGTCCAAAGTATATATATATATATATATATATATATATATATATGACAGACAATAATGAAAAGCATAACAGGCCCCCTCTCAACCCATTTCAGACACAGAACATGATGCATGATAGCGGCTTCATTCAGACATGACAGGACCGGTCTGAAGAAGCTGGTGTGATATTTGGCATCTGATGTGAGATGGGGAGATGTCACTGCTGGAAAACAACTCTGAATTGGAAAATAATGATGTGAAGGAAGACAAGCATTTTCTGTTATAACCTATTATTACATCATCATTAGTATGAGAGAAATTTAAGTGAAAAATAGAGGGAACACTGGTCTGATTATTATCGCAGTTGTGCCGGGTTTTTTTGTTTTCACCTGTGTGAGACTTTTACCTGTTTGTGTACTTTTACCTCTTTACTCTGCACTGTGAGGGGGAAATCATTTTACCAGACTGATCTTATAAGAGAGGAATCTCTTTCTCTTTCACAATTTTCCATGATTTATCAAGCAGATTTTGTTAGACATTAGAGATAATCATTAAGTGATACATTTATTACAGTGCTCTTTAAAAAGTCAGAACAAGACATGAATATTTAACCTTGTGCTGCTGCAGCCTTTACGCTAATGTGATGACATTCAGTGCAGACTTGTGTCATGTTGGAAATGTTACAGATGCCACCTGGTGAATGTGACTTGGTCATTTATTCAGATACGACACCAACATATTACTGACACAGTTACTGTGACTAGACTAGAATCACCGCCTTGGGGTTGTATGCCTCCGCCAACCCGTCAAGTCCTAGTAGACATCTGTGTGAAACTGTGTCATTTTGTCAGCTTATGAAAACCTGAGCTACAGTATGGCCAAAAATTTGTTTTGTGAGGTTACAGTGAACTTGACCTTTGACCTTCCACCATCAAATTCAGTTCATTCCTCACTTCAAGTGGATGTTTGTGCCAAATTTGAGGAAATTCCTTGAAGGCTTTCCTTAGATATTGTGTTTAGGAGAATGCAGCGGACGCAAGTCCACAGTGATCTTGACCTTTGATCACCAAATCCTAATTACTTCATGAAAATTAGACAGATGCAACTTCACAGCCACCTTGAAATAACCTTTGACCACTAAATTCTAATCAGTTCATCCATGAGTCCAACTGGATATTTGTGCCAAATTTGAAAAAAATTCTGTCAAGGTGATCTTAAGATATCACGTTCACAAGAATGAGACAAAAGAGGTCATGGTGACCTTGACCTTTGACTTTCATCCTTCTAATTCTCATCAGGTCATTCCTGAAACAAAGTGAATATTTGTGCCAAATTTGACGAAATTCTCTCAAGGTCTTCTTCCGATATTGTGTTCAACAGAATGTGGTGGACACAAGGTCACAGTGACCTCTACCTTTGACCACCAAATTTTGATCAGTTCATGACAAAGAGACAGATGCAAGTTCACAGCAACCTTGCATTTTGACCTTTGACCACCAAATTCTCATCAGTACATTATTGAGTCCAAGTGGACGTATGTGCCGAATTTGAAAAAATTCCCTGAAGGTGTTCTTCAGATGTCACATTCATGAAAATGAGACAGAAGAAGTCAAAGTGACAACGAAAATTTGATCACTTTGTCTTTGAGTCCAAGTGAACATTTGGGCCAGATTTGAAAAAATTTCCTCAAGATGTCCTTCAGATATTGTGTTCAGGAGAATGTGGCAAACACAAGTCCACAGTGATCCTGACCTTTGACTACCAAATTTTGATCAGTTCATGAGAAAGAGACAGATGCAAGTTCACAGCAACCCTAAATTGTGACCTTTGACCACGAAATTCTAATTAGTTAATTCCTGAGTCCAACTGGACGTATGTGCCAAATTTGTAAAAGTTCCCGCAAGGTGTTCCTGAGATATCACATTCATGAGATTGAGACAGAAGAGGTCAAAGTGACCTTGACCTTGAACCTTTAACCATCAAAATCCAATCACTTTGTCTTTGAGTCCAAGTAGACATTTGTGCCAAATTTTAAGAAATTCCCTTAAAATGTTCTTAAGATATCACATTGATAAGAATGGCACGTACATAGATACGGGTGAACAGCCAACCCAAAAACATAACTGCCTCTGGCCATGGCTATCACTGGCGCGGATGCACAAAAAGGTGCATGTCTGAAAGAGGCTTTACAGTACCTTTCAGTTACCTGGACACCTCTTGGACTTTAATTTTAACTTTAAGCAGCTATGGTACAGTTTGTACAGCTTGCAAATTAGCTGCCAGCGGATTAAAGTCCCATCTGTAAGTTAAACAGGTTTGCATTTAGAGATTACATTCAAAGTAACATCTGGTTGCCTATAAGCCTTGATATGTACTGACCGTGCTGTTAATAAGCAGCTAATGAGACCCAATTACGTCTTCAAATCCTTGTCCAGGACCAGGAGAATTTGGCAAGATGCAAATATGAACAGGATGACAGCTGGAATGAATGCAGGCTAAAATAGATGTTTATGTCTCACTCTGACCACCACTACAAAAAAGACTTTATCATCCCACAAGCTCTAAGTATGACAGTCAATCACATCTACTTGTGAGATGTTCTGCACACTGTCATTGAGCAGGAAGTCTGCTGTTGCTGTTGCTGCGTGGGGCAAAGAGACTCTCCGACTTACACACATCTGCAAAGTAAACTGTTAGAACTATGACAGATGTCAGAGTGGAGATTTCCTGAATAATTGAACAATTACAGAGACACCAGTTGCCCCAGGGAAAGATGGAGGGATGAGGGGGTGAAGAGGAAGAGAAGGAGGAGGAAGAAGGCACACATCGTATTCTGAGTGTGCTCATGCCAACTAACACCACTAGAGATCCAAACAGACTGTTTCCAAGCTCAAAACTTTCTAATTAGCACAAACATACTCAAAAAAAAAAAGAAAAAACAGAGTGAAACAAACAGTAACTGTGTAAAGTATTAACTTCTGTTCTTTGTAGATATTCAGCTTCTGGGGTCCTGCAGTTGCATTTTAGAGAATGTGAAAAAGTTTAGTAATTAAAGTGATTTTGTTGATCTTATGGTATGGAAACTAAGAGTTTTAGATTTAAGGTACCATATTTTTCCAAATAGTAGCCCGGGCGTTTATTTCACAAAATCGATTTTGACCCCAGGCGTTTAAAAGAACCAGGGGCTATTTGCTCAAGGCTCTTTTTTTTTTTTGCACCGACCTGCACCAGGCCGTTATTTGGTTACAGTTCCTGTCCAGTATGTTTTTTAGTGCAAAAATACTGTATAATGTAGGGGTGAGTTCGTGTACAAAAATCTCTGAACATTTAGAGTGGGTCATTTTTTTCGTGTACACGGGTTTCACCGCTGGGTGGTGCTATTGCATTATACCAGTAAAGCCCCAGTTATCCATCCGTAGCACGAGTCATGTGCACCACTTCACCACCGACCCGTGTGTAAAAGCGCAAACAGTCCCTCAAGGAGGGACAGCCATGAGGCAATGAATGAGGAATCAATAATAATCGCCCGTGCGTTTAATCGGACCGGCGTTTATTACGCAAAATGGGGTCAAACCCCCAGCGGCTACTAGGTGCCCGGCAAGTATTTGGAAATATATGGTACATGCAAAATGTCTAATTACATTTGTCGTTCTCATTCTCATCTTAAAAGAACAAATATTCTCTGCCTCGTTACTTATCACACAGTTGCCATTGCATCATAACAGTTTCCTGGAAACCATTAAAAAACATTCAGAGTGTATTGAGTTGACAGTTCTATCAGAAATCAGGCAAACAGCAAGTATGCCAGGTCAAAGCTGAGCCAGGATGTTTGACTCTGAATTGATGCATTAAGAGGTATGGATACAGCATGAGAGGTCAGCCTTGTTTTAATTTTTTTTTTTTTACAAATTTGTCACAGAGCCCATCTGAGGTACCACAACATCCCAATCCCCTGTGGCCCAAAAAGCATTTTCCCTATAGACCAATATTATAAAAGAGATATCTGTAAAATGTGCTGAGCACCTCAAACTGCAAACAAAGTCAAGAATTACTCTTTGCATTGTGGATTTTTAAACCACGACAACTTTCCTAAAGGCTAGATTAACGATTGTTAACTGCCTAACATCATCTCTCATCAATGTAAAGTCTACGGGATGGGCGGCGGAGCTCAGGCACAGACACTAACAAGCACACACAACAGGCTGCAGAACACGAAGCAAACCAGGAAGATCAGATTTGGTGTCCCAAGCCCCCAGGAACAGCACCAGGCTTTGAAGCCAATTTGACATAGTGGTCAAACCATGAAATGAGGACTTCCAGGTCTGTATGTGATGCCATTGGGCCCATAAAGACTTACTCCCATAGACTTACATTGTGAACGAGACATCCGTAGATTGGTGGATACATTTTTCTAAGCATCACAACCCCTGCAAAATCACTCAATTCACTATCCGGATTTGATCCACTTTGTCTGATAACAATTGTCTACAAGTGTAGGAGAGCTGCATGATTAAATCATTTGATCCCTATTTAAGTTGGCAGAGTGCCAAACCTGAAGTTGGCCGCTCCACCAGCGAAAGTCTCAAGTGCACTTGTTCTGCTGGCCCAATGATGCAGAAGATGTTGGTGATTTTATACACAGGAAGTCGTACTTTTTTGGCTTCATGCACCACTGAGCAACTTTCATAGCAATGAACTGGGCCCCATCCACAACTCTGTATCCAATTCTCTTCATACATCCATGGTATGTCCTGGGGAACCAACTTTCAGTGGGCACCATTTTGGAGTCCATTATCTCGCTCTTACTATACATCCATGGGAAACTGTAATCGATATTTACAATGAACATTTTGCGTAAAATTTTTACCATTCACCTTCATTTCCCATCCAAACAAGTTTGGCTAGCTTGGTCGGTTGTCTGGACTTGTTGTCTACAGTAATGTGCTGCAATTTAGCCTGACTGCTCTGACAAAAAGACACACAAATAAGAACAAATGCTGATGTTGTGGTGGCATCACCTGTTCCAGCATGTTCTGCAATCTCTCAGCCTCAAGGTCGATGACGAACTTCTTCTCCTGTCTCCGGTCCAGATCATCCAGCAGCCGTCGGTAACTGGCATCGTTGAAGTTTTCCACGCAGATGGCGCTGACCTGCCAGTTGTTTTGTCCTGCCTTCTCCATGATGGCTTGCAGGATGGCGTATCCTGATACAGTGAGACATACAGGACAAGACACATCAAAGAAGGGAAAAGAAAACACAACTTAACTTTACACAACTTATGAGTATCTTTTTGTTCTATATATTTATTGGATCCTAATACATAATAATGTTTAATGTGAGTACCATCCATTGTAGGCAAAGATAAGCTCAGTATGCTTAATAACTACTATAATAATAATAATAATAATAATAATAATAATAATTACTATATTCATTGATATACCCCTCGTCCCTTTGTAAACATGAACAAACAGCAAATGCACATTTTCAAATCAATGAAGTGGAAAGTTTCATCAAAAAGAAACAAATTCACCTGACCTCTAGTGGCCGTAGTAAAAATGATGGGGGCAAAGGTGGTATCTCAAAAGCAAAGTGATGGATGTTAAGAAAGTGTTTTTGAGAGGTGGACGACAGGCTAACAAACACGTGAGGAACAAAGAGTGGCTATTTGTGGATTCCCCTCCATTTACAGCCACTTACATATGCGTCCTCACGCTGATGTGAACTTTGTAAGACACACAAAAATGTGGACCCAATATTCAAAACATCAGGTTTGTGCTGTAGCTCATAGTGTGTAAGAACTCCACATGGTTCCATTCAGATTGTGAGATTTTAGAACATTTTCATTATCTTCAAGAGAACTAGAAAATATAAATCATCACATGTATCCCGTTGATGTCTATGTGTGTATTTTGAGGCAGATCTGGATCCATTTTCTAGTGTTACACGTTAAGTGCTTCCTGAATGCTTTTTAGTCCGTGTCAGTGTGACAGCTCCTCAATATGTTTACTGATGAAACTGAGGCTGGTTGAAATATGCTCATGTGAAGTGATAAAACACAATAATTGGTGGTTTGACTCAGAAACTGGCTTTAGTTGACACAAGATCCTTGGCAAGACAACCCTTCTCTAAACTAAAAGACACCATGTTGAAGCAAACTCCTCTCAAGCTTTTATCTTTTTCCAGCCAGATCCTGGCTTTTGGTCCAGGCGGGGCAGTGAAACAGGCTTGCCTCCATGAGTAGGATGTAACATTACTGTTGGGGGGGGGGGGGGCACACTGTCAGGTTTGTGTATAAAGAAGATGAGTGTCAGAGAGGAAACTAGGGAGCTGTGAGGGCGGCTGTTCTCCAGCAGGAACAGATGTCCCCCTTAAACGGCCCCTCCTGGTGGCCATCACAATCTGGCAACCCGTCTCCCTTTGCTCCCAATTAGTGGATTAACCTGTGCTCTGGCAACCCGGCTCCCTCTCCACCTCCTCCATCCCATCCTCAGCCCCTTGCTCCCTGTTAGAGGGATGTCGGCGCCAGGAGGGACTGCTGGTTGAGACGACAAACACATGCTCCCACATGCATGTATCATCTCAGAATGTCCTCAGTTACTCCTGGTAGAGCTGGTTCATGGCATTTTGACTAACTATTGGGACTTGAATCAGACACAGTCATTGTTCCTTTTCTCAGTTATGACAAAAGACAAATGGGGTTGCACGTCGCAAAAGCTAGAAAAGAGCATGAAATTCAAAATGTGCTGTCACGAGGTCTTTACCATTCGAGGCTTTGGGAACACACATTTTTTTAATATCTTATTTCATGCCTTTATAAACAGTTGACATTAGAGAGATGACAGGAACTGAGGGGAAAGAGATGGAAAATGACATGTATCAAAGTTCCCCAGCTGGAACCAAAAAAATCGCAGACGTTGCGGTTTATGGTCTGCAACAGGACGCTCGCCTTTTTTCTCTTTTGAAAGGCCAGCATTGGATTACATTTGAAGCTTATCAAAACTGAGTTTTGGTGTTGTTACAACTTAAAATGGCACATTTGTGGATTGGTGCACACTTAGAGGAAAAACAAAAGCGACAAATTCAGCTGAAAATGAAAAAAGACGCCATAACTGCAAGGCATCTCATTGCTATACCTGCACAACAACACTGAAATGTAAGAAAGGATGGACTTTTTAAACCCCTTTTACAAAAAAAAAAGTGACTTGGAGATCATGTATAACCTGTGAAGGTCTGGACACACTGAAACCAACATCCAAGAACAAGTGGCAAGACTGATGGAACGGATTCAAGAAGCTAGTTAGCCAGTTAGCACATTAACAACACATCTCAATGTTGATAGAAAAGTGACTACTGTGCGCTAGCGGACAATAACACAAACATTTACAAACTGTTTCTGCTAAAAACCTCAATGGCTAACAAAACAAACAAACAAAAAAAACTAAAATTACTGCTTCATAGTTGTATGCCTCTCTGAACCAGTAAAGTTTCTCTGACAGTTTACATCCATGTCTATGAAAACGGGTCCATGTCATTGGTCCGACAGCCTATTGGTTCGACATCCCATTAGTCCGACTGTCCGCGGTGCTGAACGGCTCGCGGCGGGCGTATAGTGCGCCGCGACCAGCTTGAGGCGAAGCAGGCTCACGGCTTACGTGTTTGTCACTTTTTTTTTCATTTTAACCCACACCATGATCTTTTCGTAACCCTAACCAATTGGTTTTTGTGCCTAAACCTAACCAGACCTTAACCACAGGGCATCATGATGATTTCGGAACGGACTTTGGAACAATGGGTTTAATACGGTTGGAACAATGGGATGTCGAACCAATGGGCTGTCGGACCAATGGGCTGTCGGACCAATGGGCTGTCGGACCAATGGGCAGTTCCCTATGAAAACATGGACGCCTCACACACACATCTTCCCTCCGACAGCACAGACGACCTATAGTTTCAAAATTTGTGTCACCATTTTAGTATCTGACCAAATTCTTGAGTTATGGTCAAAGAGCACATTTTGTGAGGTCACAGTGACCTTGACCTTTGACCTTTCACCACCAAATTCTAATCAGTTCACTTTTTATAAAATTTGAGGAAACTCCCTCAAAGCCTTCTTAAGGTATCATAAGAATGAGATGGATGCAAGGTCACAGTCACCTTGACCTTTGACCACCAAAATCCAATTATTGTCATCATCAGCTCATTGTTGAACCCAAGTGAATGTTTGTGCCAAGTATGAAGAAATTCCTTTGAGGCGTTTTTGAGATATCACTTTCACGAGAATGGGACGAATGGTGTATGGGTGGATGTGTGGACGGATGTATGGACGGAAAGACATACATACAACCTGAAGACACAATGCTTCTGGCCATGGCTATCCCCAGTGCAGAGGCATAAACACCCCATATAACTAGTTTGTTTCCATCTCACACCCTCTTGACTTTAGCTCGTTGTTTGCTTTCCTCACTTCTGTTTCTCCTCTCATCCACTAAGCTTAGCTGCCAATCAGGGTGACTGAACTGGCCCAAAAAAAAAGAAAGAAAAACAAACCAAACCAAGGGCGACAGACGCTCAACGACAGCCCAACATTGACCAATTGCCGAACGTCTGCTTAGTGTGTCAGGGTCCTTACATGAAAGAAAAACATAAAGACATCAAAATGCCACTAAAAAAAAGTATATGATATGATCTGCTTCAAGTTCTCAATGAAATTTTGTCCAGTTTTAACAGACAACTAGATGTTATTCACCTGCAAATAACCAAAAACATACTGACTGTTCTGTGCTGTTCACCAAACTCTGGATAAAACAAAAGGAAATATCCACCAGCCTTTGTAATGAGTGGACGATGGCACTAGATGTCGGTGAAGGTTCTCAGTCATCCAGGTCGTGGTAAACTTAAATGCTATATTGTAGGCAACTGGACATCAAGAAGCTTCTTCAGTTCTAACTGACTGGTGTGGAGCTGCAGGGTTTAAACTCTGTGTGGGTGTGAACCCTTACAGCGTCTTTGAGGGGTGGTCTTTGGGGTTAATGACACATGTGACCTTAATGACTCTGTAAGGGTTCACACCCACACAGAGTTTAAACCCTGCGACTCCACACCAGTCAGTTAGAACTGAAGAAGCTTCTTGGATGAGAGGTGAAATGTCTTGAAGAAACTCAGGCAAGCCCAGTTGATATACTACAATACGGTATTTATGATGCCACTAGATGGAACAGCAGAGCGTCCCCCACCTTTATAGAAAGTCATCCTGTAGGGAACGTAGATACTTTCATGGCGATCCATAGGATAGTTACTGAGAAGGTTCAGTCTGTACTGACACTGACTTCCCTACAGCCAACCATCAGTTCCATATATTAAACAGAAAAGCTCATCTTTACCCATCTTATCCTTTTTGTGTCTTCTATCCTCTCTCGAGGACACACGTAGTTGTTGAGCAGCAGAACTTTCTGTTAATTGATCAATCTCAGTCCATGTTCACACTGTACTTCTGTTTTTCTCGCTGAGGAGGAAAACTCAGAACAGAAGAACAACCACGGCTGCTTTCAACACATTCAAAGTCTCCAGATCTCCCTCTGTGAACTCACTTTATTTCTTTACCTTTGCGTTTACTTTGTGGCGTTTGTGTCTGCCCGCCCAGGGACCGCAGACAGACAGTAGCCGGTGGCTAAATCTGATACAAAGCATCTCTTCTTATTGCTTGAAATACATGGTCCCTGACAAATAAACATAATAAAAAGGAGGGACTGTGTGCAGGGCTGGGATGCCACAGGCTGGGATGAAAACGACTCCCTGTGGTAGCTGCAGCTACTTTGCTGCTATTGACTGTATTGACTGGAGCCGTTCTGCTACAAATGAGCAGCTGTTTTGTCTCACTGTTAGCGTGTTGTAGGGTGAAACCATAGTTTGTGTCATTGTACCTGTGTGCTCCTGTCCTTCTGGTTTACCATAGACTCATTCTCATAGAGGGCAGAGGTATGATGCTATGATGCAATACATGACCTACATTGTAAATAAAACTAAGTTGGAAAATTGGCTCACTATGTTTTGAACAGTCTCATTTTCATCACGATATGACACGTGACTGCAGAGTAAAAGCTTATTATGAAGAGTCCTGATGGTGATGACTGATGACTGATGACTTTTAACTGTATGTAATACCAACAAATTTTGTATTTTGTATGCTATGACTGACTTTTC